TATATTGCTAGCCATTGTTTCCTTCGAAGACTAAATGTACTTTACCAAATATATGCCAAACAAACCATACCAATTTGGAATAAAGTTCTGATTGGCATAGGACCTCAATTGTATGTATTTTTATTCCATATTATGCTTCCCTAATTGAAAAGAGAATGAAAGGAAAAATGGTTAAATTCTGCTTGGCAAGCTTCCTGATCTAAAGCTGATAGATACTTTCATAGATAGTTTTTTAACTATATACCACAGATAGTTTTGTAACGAAGGTATACAAAAATTGTCGGTAGTGTTAATAAGTTTCAACAATTTTTAACTTGACATTACCCACAACTATTTTAAAAGGTTATTAATTTACATTTAATAAGATCATAGTTCGTTACGTAAAAAATAAAAATATATTATTTTTATCTTACTGAATATACCGGTCTGATAGCGTCAGGAACAATTTCAACTCGACTTCTCATATTATAAATATTGTTTTTAGCATTATTATATTGTTCCCATAGCTTATGTTGAAGCTGGCTTTCGCTTGCGGCGGAGGTAAAGTCTTCTAAACGTTCCAGTTGCTTTAAACGACGGGCCAAACGTTCTCTTAAGATAGTTATTTTTTCGTTGTTAGATACATGACGTTTCAATTTCTTAACGATCTTGTTGTTATTTGTTTCAATGTCCATATTTTTTTATTTGATATAAAAAATATATTAATCAGTTGTCATTTTTTATTTGTTAGATACTTCAATAATTTTAAAATGAAACAAAACTTTGTAAACCGAGATATACTTCAAGCCTACTAAAACTTTCTAGTGTACTGTGTGAATTATGCATTTTTTAACTTCTTGAATGAAAAGTTCATGTTTTAGCTCACTTTACTGCTTACTATTCTATAAACTCACATATAATTTTCATATTGTTAACTGTGATATAATCTTGTCAGTTATGTCCTCTTGATCTATGAGTTGATATATCATATTATTAACATGATTATTGCAGCGAACTAGACATTTATCAATGTCGTCAGGACATTTCTCGCCATGCTCTCCTAAAATTTTCCTTAAGATCAACATTTCGCTTTCTAAAGATTTAGCAGCCGCTAATTTTTTATCTGAATCCTATAATTGAAAATGAAGATACAAAATCAAACAGTTAATGAATTATTTATATATGAAGTCACATTTCTTACCAACTTTTCGTTTTGTATTAATCTTGTTCGCTCTGAAATAATAGCAAACCCGCAAGGCAGATTCATGTACATAGCTTGAATAAGTAGCAAAAGATGATCATCACTTCTAAAAATTATTTACAATTTATATTAAAATAAATTTTGCAAAATCATTAATTAAATGTATCAACAATCATTAATTAAAAGTAACAACAACATAATTGTATTGAGTTATTGAACGTTTATTTGAAATTTAGTTTAGTTGAAATAATTAACTTCCCGTAGGGTTGTTATAGTAATTGGTCGAAAATCGAAAATGAAAATTTTTGCATATATTCACGTTTTGAAGGTTTCTGAACATTTTGGAATACCTCAAAAAAAATGGATGTTTTCGGGCGCACAAATCAACCGATTTGAATGGTTCAAAAAAACATTAGATTCCTATTGATAGGGAGATGTGCTGATTAGTTTTTGGCAAAAGCAGGTCCAGCCGTTGTGGAACTATCGAGCTAAATGCCAAAAAATGGCAGTTTTTTATTATATATAATTTTAACTTTGTAATTTTAACCAGCAATTTGTCTTAAGGCACGATGCCATACACAACTAGTTTAGCATGCAATCAATCACACTGCCTTAAAACAAGCAGGCTATTTACAATTTAAAGGATGAGTTTCGATTGGACATGCTATTAAAATTTAAAAATGCACTGAAATTATTGGAATATTTACTAAATATACACCTAATTTTAATTTCTAAAGCCTGCCGATACTTAGATCACTTGAAATAAGTAAGAAATAAGAAACAAGTATTTTACATATTTTATTCCATTAAAATTAAAGTTTCGATTTTTGCTTCACTTCTATTTTATCAAAATGTATATAGTTATCTAATTTATCATGTACATTAATTTGCAAATTGACATTATTGACTCGAAGTCTTTCACTCGAATCTATAAAATGTAGGTGAATCTAGTTATTACAAATAAAATAATATAGTAGTTAGTTTGAACAAACCTCGCTGCCACCGTACATTTAGCTTCACCATTTTCTGAAAATCCTAATTTCAGCAAAATTCCATTTTGGAGCATTGAAGGATATAAGTGTATAACCCACCCTTCTGATTGATTCTTGATAGATTGAAATTTCATTTCAGTTTCTAAGGCTGATAGCATAGAACAAATAATTTCTTTATTAGAAGGAATTATGCTTAGCTCTACAATACGAGCGCTCGCAGCCAGTACGCTAAAGATTTCTTGACTAGCTAAAAATAAAATTAATATATTTGGAATGAAAATAAAAATTGATTCAACTATTTTTTCAATTTCTTACATATTTTTGGATCCATAAATTTTGGCACAAGATCGTTGCCTAATATCTGTCTGGCATTTAATGTAACATCAACAGTAGGTGTTTGCAAATTATCTCCGCTGAGAGTATAATGTAAAACAGTATGGAGTATTACTTCATGATTATGAAGATTTAATCGAGGTGGCGACAGGACAGCGATGAAAATATTTTCACCTGGTTTTATTGAGCTTGTTCTGGACCACTGCTCACCGTTGATGTGATAAGGACCCAAAAAGACATCGAATCTAGAAGAAATTAATATCATAAATCTTCATACCATTTACTTTTTTAATTTCATAATATTTGAATTTTTTTAAATATTCCAAAGTAGTTTTTTATTATTAATTAATAATTATCAAAATATATTCACATCTCACCCTTCATCCTGAGTCGATTGTGTCATACAACGTACATGTTTTGAATATATCGCAGTTGTATATCTTACAATGTCCAAATTTGATGAAGTAATCATGAAATCAAAATCATCAATAGAATCACTGTAACGAATAACATTTTTATTCATAAAACTTATTTTAGTAAAATGGCACACGTAACTATATTGAATATAATTCAAACAGGCTTTTAGGGAAAGTGTTGGAATATAAAATTATATTAAGTATGGTCCTGGTGAGGATATCTACCTAGGAGTAAAAGGAGCGATATTCTAGCTTGGTATACAAGAGAGGATTTTTGATACAATCATCTTATTTCGACTGCCTGCCCTAAGGAATAAACTAATTTGTATTACTGTATAAATAGATTTTTGTCTTTTTAATTACAATATTTATTACAACTGTTAAATAATATATATTTTAGTTAAATAACATCTAGTAATAATAATGAACAATAATATAAATTTAAATAAAGTACAAAGAATAGAATTTAAATTAAAATGATATCCGTAGTATGATGAATCAATATAAAATAAAAGCAAATAATAATAATAATGAAATTAATAAATTAATAAATAAAATTTCTGAATAATAAAATAATACTAGAAAAACAATAAAGTGGAATAAAAACAATGAGTGACAGATAATAATAAATATAACAAAATAACAATATTAGAAATAACAAGATAATAATAATAATGATAATAATATTAGTTTAGAAATGGCTAGTATAAATAGAATATTGTTATGTAAATATTATCAGAGAAATAATAAATTAAATTTTACTGACAACAGAAAGTTTACATTTGATAATTTTTTATTCATTATACAAGACCAAAGTTGTATGGCTATCATGTATTAAAATAAAAAGTTTATAAAATTACTAGTAAAATGTACAATTAAAATGCCCAAAATTAAATTAGTATTTACGAACTCTCTAAGCATAGGTATATGTAGATCAAGTGTAAGTCAGTGAAGATCAAGTATTTCTTTTATTTCGTTGAATAAAAATGAAAGTTTCCTATTTGATCTGATCACATTTTTACCAATATTTTACATACTAATATAATCTATTGCGAAGTTAAATATTAATTTTCATTAATTCACAAATTAATAAATATTAATTTATAGTACTTATGTAATACTAATATATTTTATACAATTTTAGTATTGTATATAGTATATACAATACTAAAATTGTATATACTATATACAATAGTTGGAAAAAATACTACCACCGAAGTGGTTTTCAATGGAGAATAAATAAAGTAGAGAAGGATAAAAAAATTAACTAACGAATGCAAAACAATTCCTATTAATATATGAAGGCAACATCTAATTTTTCAACATTACTACATGCAATTATAATAAACAGGGTTAACTTTCAAGCAGCAATTCTTAGGTGAAGTGTATTGTAAGCAAAGAGGCTATAAAACGAGGTCAGAATATTACATTCGAACCAAATTAGATATCGTTTCTTCAGTCATTAAGTCTCCTTACGACCTAATTTAATATGAAAATGGTATTAGTTCTGCAGTCTACGCCAAATTGATGTTAAATATTTGAAGACAATTTAAATTATATAAATCTTGATTGCGGTGACAACGTTAATATTATAGTTACGGAATACAAATTAGAATTAACATTGATAACCATTACAATCTACAGCGACAAAAACCAGATATTAAGGATTTAAAAATATATTGATTTTAGTTTAAAAAGCAATTTGTTTTGCAAATGCATTTTTTAATTAAATGTATTTACAATCTGTTAGATAAAACAATGAGACCAATATAAAAAGGAATAATATTATAAATTGTTTTTTAGTATATACTCCAAGCGAAGAATCTATTTTAGGAGTGTAATATAAAACGTTTATTCACTTGATATACCAATATTTAATATAATATATTAGTAAACTATATATGTATGCGATTCTGTTTTCCAAGATTGCATCAAATGATTTATTTCGTTTTCATTGTCTATCATAAAATTTAGTTCTAAGATCGTAAAATAAAGTACACAAGCAGATCATTATTCCAAGTTAACTTCAATGTTACATACATCGCAGAACAATAAATGCACAAATTTTCTGAGCAATAGCACTATGTTGAACTTGCTCCAGAAACCATAAATGAAAAACCACTTGAACACAACTTTTACAAATTTAAAAATACTTTTAAAGCACTGATTTTTTTAAATTTTTCAGTAACAGAATTATTTAGAGGTAAGTTATCATATTTATAATATTGTTATCATTAAATTTAAAAAACGCGATCGGCATCAATATGTATTTATTCTTCATTGAATAACACGCGCCAGAGTGAATAATTGTTTTTTACCATAAATGTAAAAAAATAAAATATTTATATATATAAATATATTATATACATGTAAAATTATTTTAACACTTCATTGTTTCACATATGTATAAGATGCCATTTTTTTTAATAAAGATAAAAATAATATTTATTTTAGAAATAAATTTATTATTGAACAGCGATCTAAGTTGTAAGAGATCTTGTGATTAAATTTCTAACTAACAACTTCAAAAAATAAAGAAGCTTAAAAAATCGCTTTTTTGAGAAATTTTTAGGAAAGGAAATAAATATGTAATTGAGACAAATCTTTCAGGTTTTATTGTTAAATATATCTACATTCTTCTTGATTTTTTTAATTAAAATATATGTCATAATATGCCGGGTACAAGCATTTTGCCGATGCGCCACGAGCGTGCAGGGCCATTTGGTAAAAAAGATACAGGTCACAATTTCCATCCGAAACAAAAAAACCAAAGAAAATATATATTTTCTATAGATTCTAGTTGAACCCAAAATATCCAGAAAAAATGAGAAATTCTGTATGTATGTATGTATACATGCTTGACAATTGCTCACTATTTTTTCTGTAATTACGCAAATAATTTGTATTTCTGAAATTTTAGGGATATATTCTTGGATAGTTTTGGAAGAAATTTTTGCAAAAAATCGATTTTTGTAAGCCTCTAAAACAGGCCCCCTTCAAATACTATTTAAGGATACAATAAAAAAAAACTGTTTCTTCTTTATAATTGATGATTTATAATTGATTGATTTATTATAATAAATCAATAATTTATTTTAATTCGCTTTTAAGCCTTGAATATTTTTTTTCAACAATTGTTTGTTTGTTTTCATAATCTCTGTGAAATATAAAATAAGTATGTCAAATTGATTAATGTAAGAAGCTTTTTTAACACGTCTTTGGAATTTTGTATTAGACAATTTTCTCAATTATAACGCATACTCGTCAGTGGCGGATCCAGCTTTGATGCCAGGGGGGAGGGAGGATCACTTAATTAAATTATGTATAGAACATATATTTGCAATACGATTAGAAAATCGTTTTTCTATAATAAATTACACATTGAAGTTATAAAATGTGTTTGGTAACAAAATATGTAAATAAAATTTTTATAAAGTAATTTTATTGCTGATTTTTCTTTTCATATTTCGGTAGATTACACCTTTAAAAATAACATATTAAAATTTCAAATCGATATCTCAAATGGTTTTTGAGTTACAGCCATTTAAAAAGTATACATATAGTATATAGTACGATCATTTTATCTTTAAACGCGTTTTTCTCAAAACTGTGTTTTTCAAACTTTCCTCCATTGTATCTCAGAAACGGCTAGACCGAATTGAAATTTACAGGGCACATTCAATACATTTAAACGCATGGAATGAACTATTATCAATCGTTTTTCAAATTTTCAAAACTTCGATTTTTTTATAGCAAAAAACAAAAAAACGCCTAATTTGCAACTTTTATGTCAAATGTCTATCAAAAATCCATTTTTTTATATTCATTTGATTATAGGTCATTATGTGCTCTTAAGCCTACAAATTAAAACGCCGTTTATTTTTTTTTCAGATGAGCCGATCAGCCGGAATCGTGGAGGAAGTGGGAGCTCTTTTTTTCGAGGCGGGGGTGTTCAGAGCGCTGTAACTCTAGTTTGACTGAATATTTTTAGCTGAAATTTTATATTTATACTGTACAAATATGTGTTAATGAATGATAAAAAACTTGAAGCTCTAAATATTTACTGGTCGTAGAAAAAAATCCTAAAATATCCCTAAAAAACAGGCCGTCACATAGGAAGACCCCGGGGGTATTCTAGTGTAGAGCGATGAATTTTAGGTCATTTTTGAATGATGAATTTAATTTTTTTTACTGTTTTTTTGAGTTTCTAGAATTTTTGAAAAATAGTAAAAATAGGAATTTCGGGATGATTCTAGTTCAGACTATAGATAGATCTATAAACAAGACTATCTGAAAATTTCAAATAAATTAGTCGAGTAGAACTCCAGAAATTGTGACAAAAGTACTGAAAAAGTAAGTTCTGAGAAAAACGCATTTAAAGTTTTGCGTGAAGCCAAACCAGTATGGAGACCGAGTCAGTAAAATGCCTATATCTCCAAAAATAATTCAAATTTTCAAAAACTTTCTCGTACTTATATTCTTAGATAATTAAACTTTGAAAGTTTTAAATAAAAAAAAACGATTTTTTTGAATTTCTACACTAAAATGCCCCCTTAATATTCTATCTATGTCTTAAAACAAGCTCAGGGGGGTCATCACCCCCGTGACCCACCCCCTGGATCCGCCGCTGATACTCGTTGGCTTGTAACATAATATATATCATTTTCAGATATTTGACAGATAGTTGTAAAATTATTATCAAGCACTTTTCGAAAATCCGGGACAATCCGGGACAAGCTGGAAATCCGGGACTGTCCAAACCGGGTCGTGTGGTCACCTTAGTAATGGTAATGCAATTTTACTAAACATAGTAAAAACAAACCATTTTCCCATTACCGTAATAATTCCTAGCATGATATCAGATTTGTTCTTTAAGAATGTAATCGCCACCCACAGTGGGTGGCCGTAGATGTGATTCGCCCGTGCTCTCTAGCGCATAACGCGAGCCAAAGGCACGTACAATTTCTGCCGCTGCCGTTGCCGTATCGCAGCGCGCGCGCAATGCGGCACGTCGACTATCGTTTATGCCGTTCGATCGAAGATGGACAATGTTCCTTTATAGTGTTGCAAAACTTGAAATC